AGCTGCTGCGAGGCAACTTGAGGCTGTCAAAGCGACGCGTTATGGGAGCGGGCGAAACAAACTCACTCTGCTGACGGAGGTCAGAACGTGCCATGCTGATGCCTGGGTGCCCAAGAGCATCCTTGCCCGCTGTGGGACTGCCCTGCCGCCACCGAGTCCTCCTTGTCCCAGGGCTCGGGGGTGAGCTGGTGCGTGGGGACGATGGGGTGAGGGAGCGGAGTCCTAGCTGGCATGGAGCTTGCCAGCCCCCAGTGAGCGCGCGGGAGGCGACAACCCTCCCCGAGCTGGCAGAGGGGCCGCTGGCTGCAGGACCGGTGGGCACAAACTTGGAGCAGGGGGTGGGAAAGCCACGGGAGCCTCGGTGAGTCTCTGCGTTTGGTGCTGCTGTCTGACCTGCCCTGAATGACCCCTGTAAGAGTCAAGGAGAAATCGTCGTGCTGGGTACAGAGATCAAACGAGCAGCGGTAGCTCAGATCTGGAAAAAAGTAGGAAGAGGCAGGAAATTGAAAAGATTGGCAAAACGTTATTGATATTCCTTGTATTTCTGGGCATTGTCAGGGCTGTTAAGAGCTGTTCTGGGGACCACCTTGGGTTGTAATCTGCTATGAAAGGAGAACCGGAGAACAAATCTGTGGGGTTTTTTTTTATTTTTTAATCTATATCAAACTTGCTCAGGAAAGCAGAGAGCTGTAAAGCAAGTCCTGTGTTGGCACCAGCAGGAGTGGGAACGTAAAATCCATATGGGATGTAATGAAATTTCCACTGACCTTGTGTGGGAAGGAAACGCTTGTCAGCAGGGGAATGTGAAGATTTTAAAAATATTTTCTGGTGAAACTGGTACCTTTGTATCCTGTAGGAACGTAGTGGTGAGTTTTTAGGAGGCTTAATTCAAAGGCGGTTGCTCTTTGCCACCCTCGGCTCCAGCAGATGCCATCGCTGACCGCGGGAGCTGCGTAACGGGGACGCGACTGCGGGAGGGGGTGCGTACGAGCAGCGCTGTAACGTAGCAGACGTGCCGTACCCCGGGAAGCCGTTCTGACGAGCTCGGTGGATGACAGCACCAGCTTGCCAGCTCGCATCCCGGCTCTGCTCAGGTGGAGAGCAAGGGAGCCGTGGGAAGCCATGGCCGCGTAGGTGGTCGTCTCCTGTTGATCCCATAAGGCATGGCAGCTCTTGCCCAGCACAGCGCCCTCAGGAGCCGTCGTCCTGATGAGATCAAAGCTGCAGTGCTGCGCACGCGTGATCGTTCTGTAAAGCCTGGGCTATTTTTCAGGAAATGCTGGAGTCCCAGCTGCGAGGGACTGGATGAGCTTTCAGGTGTGATGACCAAGTACTGCTTTCTGGAAGTTCACTCGGCTTCTCCAAGCATTCCCGTGAATCTACCCAGGTAGCAAACCCAGGGTAGATATTCCTGTGTGGCATTAAAGCATCCTCTCTCCTCTGAGAAAGTACCATTGCAAGGGGAGCAAATCTATTTTCTGCATATAGAATGACACAATGGTTTGGGTTGGAAGGGACCTCAAAGATCATCCAGTTCCACCCCCCTGCCATGGGCAGGGACACCCTCCACTACACCAGGTTGCTCAAAGCCTCATCCAACCTGGCCTGGAACACCTCCAAGGATCGGGCATCCACAACTCCTCTGGGCAACCTGTTCCAGTGCCTCACCACCCTCAATGTAAAAAATTTCTTCCTTAGATCTAATCTTAGATCTTCCTTATATCTAATTGTATGAGTGCAAATGTGAAGGAGAAGGGATGGAGAAGCAGTGTTGTTTGGGAGGTGTGCAGCTCTGTTTGGGCATGGTGCTGGGTATCACAGGGATAAGATATTGCTTATTTTGACGGAAGAATAAAGACCAAGGTGCTCTGACACCGGTCACTTTGAGACCTCATTTGTAGTGAGGATTTAATTTCTTTTTCTCCATTCTTTTAGCAGCCATATTTTTTTTTAAAAAAAGGGTATTTCTAGCATTGCTTTTATAGTGGAATTGTCATTCATTTCAGGGTGTTGTGCAGCTCAGCTGTGAGGGAGGGCTGATGTTCGTGTGCAGCAGATGCTCTGAGTGCCAGGGCAGCGCTGCCGGGGCGGAGGCAGCAGTTGTGCTGAGCATCCCGTCACCCGTCCTCCTCTGCCCGTGTCCAGCGTCCCCGCTCTGCAGGTGGGACGGATGTAGGTCAGAACGGAGTTAGTGCTTTGGCTGCTGCAGGGATGGCTGCAGGGTTATCCAGACAGGCTTCAGGAACAGAACAGCTTTGCTGGTGGCCGAGTGCAGCGTGGCGAGTCCCTCACCAAGGCTCTGTGTGAGCCTCAGATGCGTTTTTAGGAACAATTGTGCTGTCTGCTCATGACGTATCGAGACTATAAAGGAGGTGCTGTAAAAGCCGTGCCCATGGAGGATCCTGCATAAGGTGACTGGTTAACTTTGAAGTTTTCAGCATTCATTGTTTCCAAGGAGTTTTGCTTTTTAGGTGACCTTCACGCAGCCTGCATCCTCCAGTCCCATTACTGCCATCGTTACATTACCCAGTAATGAGATTGCTGCAGGTGTCCTTGTTCCTGCAGCTCTCCAAGTTCACCTGTCAGGCTGTGAGCGGCTCAGTCTTGCACGATAGTTGTTCTACGAAGAAATGTTGAAAAACATTGTGTTCTTGTAACGGCGATTTTAACCTCTTCCACGTGGGATCCTCACGAGCGTTGGGGATTTGCAGCCTCGGCTGCCTTACGTGAGGAGGGGGAGCTGGAGAAAGCGCAGTGGGTCTGTCACCATGGGAGAGAAATGTCCTCAAAATGAGGCTGGTCAAGGTGAAAGTACAACTCTGACGTAGAAAGAAGAGAATCATCAGAACAGTCTTCCAGTAATTTGACTGTGCTGGACCGAATTCAGCGTGCCGGAGGCTGTCGGTTCCGGGCAGCGCTGGGTGAGGGTCTGCACTGGAGAGAGGTCTGTGCGCTGCCAGGGGCACGCTCGTTTGCTGTGGCCGCAGCGGGCAGCCCGGCCGGGGCTGCCCAGGGCACCGGCCCCCTCCCTCTTCCGCACGGGCACCTCGGGGTGCCACCGGGCCCCTCTGCGGCACGGGGTGGGGGGGCTGTGGTGTGTCTGTCGCAGCGTCTGAAGGTCCCTCATGAGAAAGCAAAAAAGCCTGGAACAGATAAAGCCTGTGGTGTTTTAGGAGCTGGAGTTGGGAGGGTCTGAAAGACTCGTTAAGCCTTGGAGCCAAAGTCGCGTTTGATTTGGCAGTTAGCCCTGGGTACGTGGGTGAAGGAGCGCGCATTGGCAGTGCCAGCTTCCTCGGGGTCTTTGCCAGCTGTTCTGAAGGTGTTCAGATGATCATTTACCAAGAAATAACGTGTTACTTTATGTGCAAAGAACACAGGATTTCGGGCAGCACGAGGTAAATCGACGTATTGTTTTCTGGTTTCACAAAGGTGATGGAGAAGCTCTCAGGGTTGGTCTCTGTGTACTTACACAGCTGTTTGCTTTGACAAACAAGGTTTTACTGTCGGACCGGTGAATGAAATTCTGCAGCTCTCTCTTGGAAAAGAATTCTGGCTTTAGCAAGCCTTGAATTAAACCTGAGGCTGGTGAGGGAGCCTGCTCCGGCAGCGCCTGTGTGATTTGCTCCGAGACAAGGGAGGGCAACCCCCCTGGCCAGTGTTTGCCTCTGACGTTGTATTTTCTTCTCCTCTCCTGTGTGCATGCAGAAATCCGAACTCAGCTGGTCGAACAGTTCAAATGTCTGGAGCAGCAGTCGGAGTCGCGCCTGCAGCTGCTGCAGGACCTGCAGGAGTTCTTCCGCAGGAAGGCTGAGATCGAGCTGGAGTACTCCAGGAGCCTGGAGAAACTGGCCGAGCGCTTCTCTTCCAAGATACGCAGCTCCAGAGAGCACCAGTTCAAGTAAGCAGGAGTTTCCAGGGGGGAAGTGGTGCATAATGATGGGCCAGAGGCTGCCTCGAACACTGTTTGTAACTGCACAGCCCGACAGTGGAGTGAACTAAATAGTGTCAGTGGTGACCTCGTCTGTCTTATCACTGTGCAGGATTTGCAAAAAGAACCTGAAAAGGCTTTTTTCCAAGACTCTTTCACCGCAGCGTTACTGACCTGTGCTCCCTGAATTAGTCTGACTGTGCACTACTTCCAGCAGTACAATGGAAGTGTGTCGGGGACTAGGAAGGAGTCAGGCCCCTTGATTTTTTTAAGAGGCTTGAATTCTGCCACTGATTTGGTTGTGCGAACAGTGGGATGCCCGTTTTGTAAACCCTGCTTTCTGCATGTGGTCCGGTCCTTGGATGTCCGAGTGCTTCACACTGCACACAGACCTGCTCGCAGCCTCAGACTTGGAAGCAGTTTCTGGAAATCGAATTTACTGCGTTTTTTTGAAATGAAGTATGTGTGTTTGTACACGCCCATACTGTGTTGAAGCTCGGCAAATCCATAGTGGAAATATTTTGAAACAAAGCTTTGAAATAGGAAGTATGAACTGGATGCTGGAATTGTGTGAAACTCAAACTGATGATGAAAATGGTAAAATGCGTGAAATTTCAAAACTTGCACATATTTGCAAAACAGCCTCTTTGCCGTTTTACCACACTCTCAAGCTTGGCTAAAACAAAAACGGTCCAGGAAAAAAAAAAAAGAAACAAGCTCGAGGCAGAATTTAAGTCTGACAGTGGCTGCGTTCCGTGGTGAGGATGTGTAGCTTGTGCCGGTACGCGGGCTGGTTGGCGGCCGTGACCTCAAGGCTCCTGTGAATGCCACCGTGCCATCCCTGTTGGAGAGCTGGTCCTGCTCTCCGCGTGCACTGGAGTGTGCCCAGTTGGAAGCGTCAGGCTGGGGACCACAGGGTGATGCTCAGTGCCCGCACGTGTTGGCAGCTCCCAGGCTTTTCTTTCTCCCGTGCTGCTCGTTGTGTTCGTGCCACGACCAGCTCTCCCTGGCAGCTCCTTGGGCGCGGGGTCTCGCTGGGCAGCATGAGCGGTGCCGCCGAGCTGTGGCTGGCCAGGCTGGCGTCG